CCCCATATTACATAAGAGTTCCGAGCTTGCCACGCACGCCCGCAGGGACGCAGCGGTTGCACCCGCAACGGCCGGGGGCTGACTGCAGGGAGCCTCTGGGGGCGGCTTTCTTTTAAACAGAAAGAGTTTAGGGTTTAGGTGGGTGTATTATCTTCTATATTCATCTCACGGGCACCTCATGGAATAGCTCTAAACCGAGTTTGGGCTTTATTTGGCAATGTGATAGTATGTATTCATTTTGTTGGAACCTAATTAGGGATGTCTCTACACAGATTTCGGGGTATATTACGCTATGGCTATGGTCATTGGAGTGGGTTGTGTTATATTCATATCACCAAGAGGTCCATATACACGACCATTATGGAATTAGGTCCCCCAAAACCATGATGTGGCCCAAGTAGCTTACTGCAAGTGCCTGTAGTTCTGTGACTGTAGTATTGGCCGAGGCTCAGGAATCTCAGAAATGGCAGAATTTTGACTCTTGTGTTGGCATAAAATGGAAAAATCTGAACTAAAAACTAGTAGACTCTGCAACTTCTCTGTGTGTACTAACTAGTTGACCGGTCTTTGCTCCTATAACACATGAGTAACTTTTGATTGAGAAACGAAATGCTGCAGCTGACCGGCATCCTGGTTGAATTCTACGGCGTTCTATGGAGGCTTTTGTACTTATGACCCTACAAACAACTCCCTCACAAGGACCCCTTATCCCTGAAGGTAAGACCCCTGACCCTGTAAGTGTGTTCCTGCACTCATGCTGTTAGCATGTAGGACGGGCCTTCAACACTTCGGCTCTCAACAAGCCAGGCTCCCCGAAACCCTGCATATCGGAGATTAGTGTGAGGGTTTAGGGTTTAGGGTTTAGGGTTTAGGGTTTAGGGTTTAGGGCTAGTGCAGCAACCTTCAACTCCAAACACTAAAACCCTGTGAGCTCTCTGGCATCAGCCGTAAACCCCAAAACGCTGAACCCTCAACGATCTAGATTCAACGATAAAAGACCCAACCCAACACCTCAAGTACGCAAGTACATAGAAGACGTATAGTTATGGAACCTCTTTGATCGAACAACGAGCCCCAACCGTTGACGAAGCCCGAGAGCCCTGAAAGGATCCGTCCTGCGAGACCAAGTCTCCAACATTTTAAACCCGAAACCCTAGTTCCTTGTAGATCCCTTAAGGGTACCCTATAATAGGGTCCCCTTTAACGGTACTTTGACGTTCTACAATTAAAGGTTCCTTAGGGCTCTATAATAGGGTCCCCTCTAAGTGAACTTTGAGGTTCTAGAATAAGGACCCTTTTAAGGGAGCCATTAAAGGAACCCGCAAATCCCAAGGGTCCTCGAGACAGCCCGGGCTTTGCCACTCCCCGGCGTGGCATCGGAGGCTGCGACGCGCCAGCGAAGCTTCTAGGCCCGTCTTTAGAGTTTGGGGCTTAACGGTTTAGGGTTTAGGGTGTAGGGTTTAGGGTTTAGGGTTTGGGGTTTATCGGTTTAGGGTTTAGGGTTTAGGGTTCAGGGTTTCCGGACGCAGGGCTTCATGTCTTGGGCTTAAGCTTTAGGGTTTATGGTTTTATGCATTAGGACTTCGGGTTTCGTTTGAAAGTTTATATGGCGTTATTGGAGATCTATCACGGTTCCTTTATGGGTTCTATAGAAAGGTTCCAAAAAAAGGTACTACATCAGGCTGAAATCTAATAAGGGCTCCTTGAAGGGCTGTATAAGACTCCAATGGCTCTTTAAGGGCAAAAATAAGGGTTTAGGGTGTAGGGTTCCTTCTATACGGGTTTGTTGAAGCCCATGTGGCCGATGCTCCTGTAGCCCTGAAGGCTTGAAGCGGTGGAGCAGAGCTCCATGTGAACAGCAATTGCATGAGTAGTGACAAAGCAGACAGATACTAGTCCAGAGGACAGTTTGTCGTTGCGCGTGAAACAATTCGAAGCTTGTAGTGAGCCCATGGTCGTTTGCCCTCCCGCTGGTTTGTGATCACTGCTGGCTTTAAGAACAAGAAGAAGACCTATGGCGTCAAGCGAACCCAATCCCAATGCTCATGACTTACCCGATGACCGAGTTCTTGAGCAGCAACAGGTTATGAGTAGCCCAACCGCGACTACGGCGCAAGGAGAGCGAGCGCAGCAACTCTTGATGAATGGGGTTGCAGCTCCCCTCCGCGGATCTCATGATATTGATGGTGAAGTGAGGGCCAATCCGGACACGGTGGCTGCGGCTGAGACACGGGGTGTTGGTCATCCTATGGTGAGCCCAGCTGCGGATGCTACGGCAGCCTTGATAGGGGTTCGGGGCGATGGCCCGAGAGCTCCGAATTTGCAGACTGATGCTGGCAGGTCAGGGCCTGTTGGTCCTGGGCACCCGCAAGGTGTCGTGGTTACGGAGGTAAGAAGTGAAGGAAGTCTTCAAGGCCAAGGGGCCGGGGGTGTATTCTCTGGAGTTCTTCGTGCTGTTCAGACGCTTCCCGCCGCAGTGGAAGGTTTGGTGAGCAGGACGAGCTCCAATAGGGGCATTCCAGGAACCCCGGGACTTCGGGACAGCGTCGAGTATGCTTCTGTGACTTCAGCTGCAGAGACTGGGCCGCAACCTCGAGCGGCGGTGACTAGACAGCCAGAAGCTCCGTTGTTTGATGATCACGCTCTGGAGAGATTGCGCAGGATGCAGGAAGGCGCTCCTTTACTGTATCAGGGAGGATTGCCAGCTTCTCCGAGCCCGCCGAGACCACCGTCGACGTCGTCTAGTGATGTGCAGGCAGAAGTGCGTCGACAGCTCATGGAACTCATGGCCGTTCGCGATGAGGAGAGTAGGCGCCTTAGGGCGCAAGTTGAAGCACTTTCTATGGAAAACCAGAGCCTGAGGCTCCGGGTAGATGTAGATGAGCAGGCAGGGATGCATACCTCTAGACCGGGAGCAGGGTTCCCTGGACTTGGGTGGTTTGGAAGAGGGTTGGGGTCTTTGATGAGTCAGGCTAGGAACCCTCGTGCCTTGGATTTGGGTACAGTACCTCCTCCACCGCCACCTCCTCATCCTCCGAACCTTAGGATCGTCGACGATCCAAACGCCCGCGAGAGTAGTTACCCAGTAAGCCAGCGTGATATCTACAACCCGAACTCCCCGCTAGGCCCCTCAGGTTTAGGCCCCGTGCAACCCGCCGAGCGCAGCGTCAGTCCTCAAGCTGGTGGCGTGCCTGGACTTGGGATCCCGGCTGGATTACAGCCGCACCTTAGCCATGAAGCTAGATTAGGGACTTCAGACATAGCTCCTCGGATCCCGCCTGAGCCTCCCTGTCATCCTGACCCTGCACTCACGACCCAACAGCCAGAACTAAATCCTTCAGCAGCTACTGAGGTGCCAAGGGTTGAGGGTAGCCTGGATCCAATGACAGTGGTGTTGTCTGGCATGGCTCAGTTGCAGAGTGTTGTTTCAGAGCTCGCCAGCCCAAAGGCGGACACAAGGCCTGAGGTCATAAAGCCTGGGGTGGTTACTTTGCCTGATCTCCCAGGACATAGTCCAGAGAGCTCTCTGGCCTTCGCGGACTGGCTTCATGCCACCAAGCCAGCGTTGGCTGACGTGTCGGACTCGTCAGAAGAACTGTGGACCCTCACCGTGAGCGAAGCTACGAAGTGGTATAATAACTACTTGAAGTTAGACCCACTAGGTAGGCTGACAGCAAGGCCGGAGCCAACTCCGGAGTTAGGCCAGAATAAATGGGCAAGAGTGTCAAGGCGGATTGAAACCATGATAATTGCCGCTGCCCCTCAGGATGTTCGGGATGAGATCAGCGCTTCGAGGACCTCGGGTCTGTTTGCACTGGTTTGCAGGCTGTTCGTAGTGTATGGCCCAGGCACCCTGATGGAGCGTGAGTTGGGACTAAAGCATATTTCGGACCCACCGGCTGGCACGACCGTACAGGACACTATCGACATTTTGCGTCGGTGGAACCGTTGGTGCTCGCGTATGGTGGAGTTAGGGGGTGTTCTTCCAGATAGTGCCATTCAGGTCCGAGCTCTTACGAAGGCTACCAAGGTTGTGGTTTCTCAGAATCCGGAAATGGCATTCCGCATCAACCTGGCTAGGGCTGCACTTCAAGTTGACATGACGCCTGATGATGATAAGGTGAAGAAGTTGCATGCCCAGATGTTGAGTGAGTTAGAGGCCGTAGCTCATAGGGGTGAGAGGGATAAGGATAAGCCTAATAGGGAGCAGTCTCAAGCCGCTGCAAGGGTTAAGGGTGTTGAGTCCCAGGCCAACCCGGGTCCTCCTCCTAAGCAGCCTAAGGTCCCAAAGGGTAACCCCAAGTCACCGCCGGTACCAAAGGTCCCAGCCACTGAGGCAGGCGCAGGCGCAAGAGTGCCATGCAATTTCTTCACCGGGTTCAATGGACGCAAGAAGGGTGCTGATTGCACCTATGAGCACAGCTGGGCTAGCTTTAGCCAAGCAGAGAAGGCGGCCCGTTGTAAGGCGTGCGGCTCCAAGAATCACAAGCAGGTGGATTGCAAGGCTGGGACGAGGGTTGAGGAGAAGGCTAAGCCCAAGGCTCCAAAAGGGGCTAAGGCTTCGGATGCAACTGCTAGCCATGCAACCGCTCCTGAGCACTCTGGGCAGGACGCCAGTTCTCAGCAGATTAAAAGCATGTTTTGGCGGATGCCGCGAGGTTCTTGCAGCAAGCCGTACCGCCGCCACCGCCGGGCGCAGTAACCCAGGACCCGCCGGTCGCGGCTACGCCCATATCGGGCGCCCCGACCCCTGCAGGCGCGAAGGCACAGCCTCCGATACAGGGAACGCCGGTGACTTTGGCGTCTATTAGTGCTCAGTTGGAGTCACTTAGGGCAATGACTTCAGACCCGCAAGTAAGAACCCTAAGTGTGGAAGGAGAGACGGTAGTGAATGCTGAACTGAAGGGCTGGGGGAACTCCCTTGAGTCACTAGCCGGGGATCAGGACAAGTTGCGAGCCTTGGTTAAGGATTGTGAGGTAAGGATGTGTAATTCACAGGCTGCTGCAATGGCAAGTGCGGTTGCATTACTGGACAGCGGGGCGACGCATGCAGTGATCCCGTATGATACGGGCCTTACCAATTTAGAGCCAGTCCCGGTCACGCTGGCTGGGGATGCGAGACAAGAATGGCTGAAGACAGCCGGAGGGACCTTGGTGGTCCCACCTGATCCAGGTTCAGGCCTCGACAAGAGCCCAGCACAGGTTATTCTTCCGTTGGGAGCTTTGGTGGAAAGTCTGGGTTGCCAGATCACCTGGAGCAAGGGAAAGGGCCTTAGGGTAATCCATCCCGTTCTTGGAAGGTTGGATACAGGTGTATCTAGGAACACTTGTCCGTATGTCCAGGAGCAGCAGGCCCTTCAGCTTATATCAGAGTTGGAGGAAGTGCGACTACGGGACTTTAGGGACCAGATCCAAACCCTGGAGTGTCAGCTCGATGCCTATGCGAAGCCACCAGACCCCACTGAGGCCCTACAGGCATTCATTAGGACCCGAACCCGGCGTGAGGCGTTGGCCGCTTTGATAGCGCAACCGTACCTGCAGAGTGTTCCGGATGAGGTTAAGGCTTTGTTGGCAGAGGATATCCCGGAAGGCACCTTGGATGATGGCAAGGCTGTGAGAAAGGACCTACCCTTGAAGAGGGCTGCTCGAAGAGATCTGTTGGCCTCGGATAAATGGGTGGTACACCTTTGCTCCGGTAAGAAAAGACCCGGGGACCCCATAGCTAAGTGGTGTCAAGAAAAGGGGATGCCGTTGGTGCATGCGGACGTTCTAGAGAAGGGAGGAAAGGGTTGGGACTTAACCAAGGCAAGGGGGACATGGAGGGCACTGATATGGGCCGCCTCACTTGGTAAGATCGCAGTGGTACTTTCTTCTCCTCCAAAGTACCGGGAAGGAGCCCGGCAAGTGTTGCACCTTCAGGACATGTTCCTTTGGTCTTTGGCGTCGGTGGCGAGAGGGTCAGGCATTCCATATCTTGCCGAACATGCAGGGTTGCCTGATCATGTTGCTTCGTCCTTCAGAGATTGGTCGGGGGTCACCAAGGTCAGGCTTAACCAGGGAGCGCTGGGGGACAGGTATCTTCGACCGACGGAGGTAGACACGAATTTGGACCTCAGGTTTCTTGAAGAGTTGGGTGTGCAAGGCGAGGATCGTGCCCCTCCGAAGGGGAGAGAGTGGACCCTTGGGTTTAGGGTTGAGGTTGTGAAGGCCTTGTCCGGAACCCCCTCTGCACCATCCTGCAAGGAGCTGGATCGTAGAATTACTCAGGCCAGGACCCAGTGTTGCAACTCACCAGGCATGGTCTCCTCTGAAGGGTCAATTAAGGATGAAGAAGCTGAAGCCTTGTTGAGGGCCTTCGAAGCAGAGAGTGTGGTATCTTCTGATGATGAGGGAGACCCGCTTGAGAATGTTGAGGGTTCCGAGGCACAGGTTCAGCGGGTGAATGATCCTTCGCCAGCAGAGGTTGAGCGCTGGAAGGCACATTTGCAAAACGGCCACGTACCGTACAGGCGCGACTGCAGGCAATGTATCGAAGGAGCGGGCGTTGGGGTGCAGCATCGCCGGGTGCGACATCCGCAAAGCTACGCGCTCTCAGCCGACTTGTTTGGCCCAGTCCCTAGTGCGGAGCACGGCCGGGATGAAACGTGCGTGTCTGGACGGCGTAATCTTAAGTATGCACTGGTTGGAGCCTTCAGGATCCCAAGGTCTGCTGTTGAAGGTGATACGAAAGAAGCAGGGGTTGAGGATCTTTTCGAAAGGGCTAGATCAGCAGATCCCTTAGAAGATGTGGGGTCGGAGTATGCACCGTCAGAGCCCCCACCAGAGGTTTTAGATGACTTTGAAGATCTGAATGCCCCTCTAAGGGTTCCTGGAACACGTGTTGAGCCTGAGGCTTCGCAAGAGGAGTTGTTGAAAGAACTCTTTGAGGTTCCAGATGCGGACAGCTGCGCCAGAGCTCCTTATCCGTTCAGTGTCGAAGCTGTGCAGGGCACCTTTCAGGAGGAGCAGAGCATCCTCGTGGAAGATGATGTTCCTCAGGATCCCCAGGCACTCAGGGAACTGATCAAGGATCTGAAGGAGCCCGTAGAGCAGGTTGTGTTGAGATACGTTGTTCCTTTAAAGGGAAAGTCCGGACCTGAGGTTGCGGAAGGGATTCAGAAAATGATTTTATCCATTAACGCAAGGTACCCAGTGAGGATTTTGCACACTGACTTGGGAACTGAGTTTATCTCGAGCCAATTGTCCAAGTGGTTAGCGGGTCAGAGCATCCGAATGCAACACACCCTTCCTACCGATAAGAAGGCAAACGGTCTCGCTGAGAGGACGGTGGGTTGGGTTAAGGCGCGAATTAGGACTCTGCTTCGCTCCTCAGGGCTTTCCGTGCAATGGTGGCCCCTAGCAGCACGCTGGGCGGTTCAGGCACATAATCGCCGGATACTTAACCAGCCAGAGCTTCCAGCTTTTGGCCAAACAGTCTTGCATCGAATTAAGCAACCGGCTGACGGAGTGCGACAGTTGATGAATAGGTGGGTTGAGGCTCGGTATGCTGCCCCGCATAGCACAATACCCGATGGGCACGTGCTCATCACTGACTCGGGGAATCTAGTAGCCTCAAAGGGGTTTAGGTCCGGAGCCGTGGATCCCACAGCATTAGAGGGAGCAAGACTTCCGATTCTTCAGGATCAGAGCGGGAGCTTGGATCAGGAGGAGCTTGAGCAGCTTGAGGCTGAGAATGGGGAAGGCCCTAGTCCGCTTCCTCCTGGTGCGTCCCCTGATCGCAGATTGCGGGTTAAGACCTCTATTCGGTTTGTAGAGTGTGATGTTAGTACCGACTCAGAGTCCTTTGCGCGTGAATGTATCCTCTGTGATGACCGAAGAGGCCAGGTAGAGGATAAGTTGGTATTGGGTACCTACTGCCATGGGGGCCAGAGGGGGTTGACGAGGTCTACGGGTCTACTCCCCCTCACCACAAAATTCCTCAACCGTTGCCTGTACCTGTGGATACGCCAGGCGGTTCAGGTTGATAATCCTTCATGGACGGCGTTGATGATAGTTAAGGCTGGTAATCTCGCTGTGCATCGGGACTTCCGAAATGAGTGGGGATCGCTTAATCACGCAATGTGCATTCCTGGGGACTTGGAATTATGGAAGGCCCCAGAGGACGACGTTAAATGCATGCATCCGAATTGGTCGAGTAAGCAGGTCCAAAGCCTAAAGGATGGAGTAGTGACGTTCGATGCAAGGAGACCCCATGCAGTGAGGAAAAGTCCGGACTGGGTCATAGTGGGATATACACCGTTGGGCTCTGCTAAGTTGGCAGATGATGACTGGAATGAGTTGCAGCGCTTGGAGTTTCTCACTCCACCGCGAAGTGTGGAGGCCCCACAGATTAGGGTAGTCTCGTCTGGATCAGGAGATCCAATGCCAACTGAGGGTGAACCTCAGGACGCGGACTCTCCTCACCGAGAGCAAGGGGCCTTGGAGGATGACGTACAGCCAGATTCTAATACCCAGCTAGTAGGATGGGATTTTAGTAATGGGGACCCAGGCGAGTTTCCACGACCGGATCTGCAGAGAACCGACATGTATGTGTTCCTCCGTGAAAGGTTTGCAGAGCATGAGTGGAAACGCCTGACGTTCATGGGGGTGAATGAGCCAGAAGATCTGGCATACTTGTTTGAGGAAGATTTGATTGAGATAGCAATTTATCATTTGACAGCCTCTCGCGTTATGCAGGGAGTGCATCCTCCAGGAACTAGGAGGCCAGACTGTCCAGCTTTGTCAGGCCTCAAAACCGGAGAGGTTAGGCTTTACGACAGGTCACAACGCCAGATACCTTGGGTAATCCAGAATCGCACCCTTAGGCAAGGTAATCCACAACCTCCCATTGAGGGATTAGGGATACGGGTCCCAGGGGCTCAGGAGGAGCAAGGTCATCGGCACGTAGATCCGTTGCGAGTTCCTGAGGAGACGCCCCAAGCAGATCCAACGGAATCACCCATGTCTCAGGTGCCGCAGACAGCGGCTAGCTCATCGCATGAGCCTCTTCGGAGGCCACATCAGTCTGAGTTGTATGAAGAGGACCATTTGGAGATGATGTACTTGCAATCCATGTGGGAGGCGGAAGAAGATACTCCTGTAGACAGCTGGCCGCCAGCAGCTTCCAGCACTGACTGCACAGGCTTAGGTATGCAAGGCGTTCAAGTTGATAACCAGACCGCAGAGACTACAGTGGAGAGTGAGATAGTTGATTTATGTGTTCCGGAGGAGACCCAAGCAGATCCGACGGAATCACCCACATCTCAGGTCGTAAATAAATATGAGTGTAGGGCACTAAGGCATGGTGGGTCTCAAGATGAGTCGTGTAATGCACAGGCCATAGGTCCCAGAAGCGAACGTCGTGTTCTTCCAGATAGTGCCCAGGCCACTGGACAGAGTGCGATGACGGTGAGGATCGGTGTCCCAACAGGCAATCCGCTGAGTTCAATGTACGGTGTTCCCCAGGTAGCAAGCCCACCGCGTGTGAGGCGTGTAGATGAAGCAATGTTCACTCCTGATGTCGAAGGCCTACTCGAGAGGTTGGAAGGACCACTTGAGGTCGTGCACAATGTTGCCCCCGCGGAGGTGAGAAGTCACCTAGAGAAGTGGCGACAAGCAGCGACCACTGAAGTGCAGTCTTTAGAGACAATGGGCGCTATACGGAGACTTAGGGGCCAAGAGGCCCGGGGAATACTCCGGAGTGGAGACGTTGAGATCATTCCAGCAAAGGCTGTCTGCACGGTCAAGCCGGGCTCTCCCTTCAAGCGAAAGGTGCGTGTGGTTTCGTGCGGGAATTTTGCATCTACCACGGAGGAAACATTACTCTATGCGGGCGGAGCTGGAGCTGAGACACTGAGAGCTTTGCTGGCGCACAATGGCAGAAGGGGTCGAAGGTGCCATAGTTTGGACGTGAAGTCAGCGTTTCTACTGGCGCCCATACCGGCGTATGTGAAGAAGAGGTATGCAGTACGGCCCCCGAAGCTGTTGACGGAGCTAGGCATCTGCGCTGCTGATGAGATCTGGATGATTGAACGAGCTCTCTACGGCTTTCGAGAATCGCCGCGCTGGTGGTCCGTGCATCGAGACAGCGTACTATCCACCGCAACGTGGAACACCGAGCGAGGGGCCTTGCGATTGAGACAACTGGCCAGCGATTCAAACGTCTGGTCGATAGAGCTGGAGTCGGGAGAATGTATGGGACATCTCCTGATTTATGTGGACGATATGCTGATAATGGCAGATGACTGCATTGCTGCATCGTTCTTTGAGTGGATAAGGGGTCGGTGGGATTGCACCGACCTTCAGACAGCAAGCTGTGATAAACCTCTGAGGTTTCTGGGAGTCGATATCTACGAGGAGAGGGACGAGCACGGCACCATAGGGTTTAGCCTAGGTCAGGAGGGCTATATTGATGAATTAGCTCGAAGCCACAGTCTGAAGACAAATCCACGTGCAACTACACCCATCCCCAAGGAGTGGGTGCGTGACGCTCCTCCCTCGGAGGATTATTCTCCTGAACAGCTCCGTGAGGGGCAAAGAATTACCGGCGAATTGCTTTGGGTGGCACAGCGGACGAGGTTGGATGTGGCGTATAGCGTAGGGCTAATGGCCAGTCTAGTGGCACGATCTCCGCAGTACGTCGTGAAACTAGGCACACGGGTATTGGAATACCTGTGTAACACGAAAGGCCATCGCCTCACGCTGGTTCCAGGCAAGGCCGATGGAATAAGGATCTACACAGACGCGTCGTTTGCGCCTCATGGAGAGCACTCCATCACAGGTGCCGTCTTGCAGTATGATGAATGCTGTGTTGTGTGGAAGTCTAAACGGCAAAGCCTTGTGACGCTCAGCACGGCAGAATCGGAGTTAGTGGCAGCCTGTGAGGGAACAGTGTTAGGACAGTCCCTGGAAGCACTAATTCAAGAGCTAGAGGGTAGTCCCCAAAGCAAACACCTTTTGGTAGATAATATAGCCGCAGTCATCCTCGCTGAAGGAGGAGGGAGTCAAAGAACGCGCCACCTAAGGATAAGAGCGGGGTTCATAAAGGACATGCAGTCCAGGGGTGAAGCCACGGTCAGCCATTGCCCGGGAGACCTACAACTCGCAGATGCTCTCACGAAGGCATTGCCGAAGGCCAGACACGAGCTTCTGGCTAAGCTTCTAGGTCTAGGCCCCCCGGGTATGGTTGTAAAACGCCTACAAGCCACTGTAGTGACTGCCGAGGTTAGCCAAGTTATGCCCATCGAGGACGGGGGAACCCAGACTCTTGCAGGTGATGCAGTCTCGGTAGAGACCAGAGCGGCAGTGCAGAGGGGGATTGGCCTTTGGTTGTTTGCTTTAGCTCTTTATTCCCAGTTGGAGCTTGGTGAGGCAGCTGAGGTAGATGAGGAAGGTGCAGGTGAGCCAGTGAACTTAGAGCTGTCAATGGTGTTGATGTTGTTGGTGATGTCAGTTTTGTTTATTTGGGAGTCGGCAAAGCATTGCGCGACCCATTGCTGCCCTCGCCGGAGGGATGAAGAGTGCCGGGTGCGTATGATGAATGCCGATCCTGATGACGTGCAAGAAGCTAGTAACCGAAGGGGTAGAAGGCAAGAGGCGGTTCGTAGGGCCATAGCCCGGGAATTACCAGATGAGGGGTTAAGGTGTAGAGGTTCTACAGGTGCAGAGCCGGGTGAGACAGGCATGCATTCCTACGTGCACGTGCAAGTAGATTCAGGTCGAAGCCCGGTACGTGTGAATTCTAATCATCCTCAGCCACCTATTGAGCCACCGAAGAATACTCCGGTGCCACCTCCTGTTCCTCCTGGACTTCCATCCTCGCAGTCTTCCACCTCTCCGGGGGAAGTCGTTATTCCTCCACCTGATGTTGCCTGGATTTCAAGTGAAGGCCTGACTCTCAGAGCTCCTCCCAATTCCAGTTCGAGTGACGCTAGAGGGTTGGGAAGGGTCATGAGGGATGCATCCACACAAACCACCGGTGAAAGGGGGTTTGAATTTTCTGAATTGTGTGAGCTCCATGTACTTACCACCTCAAGCAGAGCACCAGGAGCATTACACCTCTTCCCTACATGTCATGCCTTGCGTAACACGGTTAGTCCTCAGGAGCGGATGTTCTGTCGCTACTGTTTGCAAGGCATTCGAGAGGGAAGACGT